CAAGCTAGCAAGTATGTGAGGACAGATCTGAACTCAGGTCTTACTTTTGACCAGGCCCAGTGTTCTATCCACTGCACCACCTACTGCATCTGCCCCTTTTACCTCAGATAATCATAAATGCCTCTTTTTTTAAGGGTAAGATTGATTTTAGTTGAGGGAGTCATCTTTCAAAAATGCTTAGGATAGTTATTAAATAATAGAATCTTAATTATAGAGCTGAAAGGGACATTAGAAGTTATTGAATCCAACCCCCTCTATTTATAGATAAGGAAATTGAGGCCTAGATAAATTAAATGATTTTGAACTCATAATCTTCCTGTCTCTAAGCCCTCCATGTTAGTTAGCCACAAAACTAAGTTGCCACTTATTAGGAGTATGACATCTAAAAAAGGGGGAGGGGGTAGCCCAGAGGCAGAGTTCTAGTTCATATAATCATAGAGGGAAACCAGAAAATTTCTTGTCAAGAGAGAAAATTAACACTAAACTTATACAGAAATACATAAAAAATAACACTAAACAAAATAGAAATCAAAGGTAAATTGAAGAGGGAATTTCATGTTAGGTTGCTAACCTTCCCATTTTGTTCAAAAAGAATATATTCCAAAACTTCAGAGTGCCAAAGTGATTTCCTCATTGGAGGAAATCCCAGAATCCATCTGGCAACTCTTCTATCACTTAGTAGACTGGCTTCTGGAACCCACTATAGCTGAAAAATTGCTCATTATTCAGCCAATCTGGTGATAACCCTCTCCAAATTTAACTAAGCTTGTCCTAGGACAAAAGACATACATTCCACCCCTGGGCTTGTATTTGAAACTTTCCTACCTTGGCAGGACTCTCCAGTCCCCACACACCCTGAATTTGCTGAAAAAATATATAATTCATTTTAACAGCAACAAGCTCATTACATTTTCTCCTTCAGTCATCTTACCTTGATTATATACTTTGTAAATTAGCAGCGTACTATATTATTAAAATTATTTGACTAGGGATTACATATCTTTAAATTTCAATCTTAGTTTATCTAAGATACTGGCAAGGTAACTCTGTGTCTGGTCAGCATACAATATGATCAATAACATAACGCAATAATAATACAGCCATTAATGCTGACATGTAATGAGTATGAAATAAGGACTCATTGGATCATAAAGCTTCTGCCACCATTCTGGAATGGATACTATTCATTATCATCATCTAAAAATTCATGACAATTACACAGTCAGACCCAATAGTCACAACAGTGAGATGACACAATACAGCCTAATTTTGATACCTTTGTCTAAGGATGAAAAATGGATTAGGATGAAAAATAGCATTACTTCCTAAAGAGTTTCCTGATCATCCCGGCCTCCCATCATTGTATTCAAATAACATCTATATTTACAGGTTTACACGTTGCAGCCCCTCAGCAGAATATAAGCTCCCTGAGGGCAGGTACTATTTTTATTTTTGTCTTTAGATCCCCACACATAAATGTCTTGAATTCAATGGGTCTTTTAGTAGATGCTTAACAGCTAGATCCTTCCCTGTTATATTAGGCTTGTCTGTGTTCTTTCAATGTAGAAAGGGGTGCAGTGACCCCTTCTGGCCACTGGAGGTCGAGCTGCAAATAAGCAGCTATTTCCCATAAGTAAAAGAGGCCATTCTCTACCTTATTACTTACCCAGCCTTAATTACTGAATGGGCGTTGCCTCGGTCACAGACCTGTTAAGGACCTTTGCTGAACCAGGCCAAGGCCTCCCACTGCATACAGGGAAATCGCCAGTCGTCCTGATCTATATCTCACCACTGGAAGCAGATGGCTCCGGAGTAGAAAGTGAGGCTAGTGACTTTGCACAGCCCTCCCTCACTCAAATCCAATTCACTTGCATCCTCTTCGAGAAGGAAGCACAAACAACATTTCCCATAACAATGAATATATATTTTAATGCAAGTTGGAATGTATGTATCTCTGACTATGGCTCTGACGAGTCATTCTCATCATTTTAAAGCTAAATCCTCCCCTCAAAAAAACCATCTATCTAAGGGCTTACAGTTGTTTCTTCAAGTTTTTCCGACGAGAATATAATCCAGGGCAAATATAAGAGAGAAATCAGAGGGCTCATCTCTTGGCTCATCCTGACACCCAAAATAGAACATTTTACAAATGGGAATAGAATAAACACTTTCTGTGATAACAATGTCATAATTAATTACAAGTACAAATTAATCACAGATTCGTGGTCATGTAAAATTTTTCAGTCAGTCATTCAGTCAAGCATTTAGTTAACAAGCAATTATTAAGCTTCAGATGATACCCAGCCCAGTCGGAGAGAGATATCAACCCTAACGAAATCTTATTGTTCCAAGGCTCTTTCTAGCAGCCCTACTGCTTTACCTAATGGTGGATATAGTATTCTTTGCTGTGGGTATAAAGTAATGAGTACCCTGTCACTAGAATTGTTCCAAAATAAGTTAGATGTGCCCAAGCTAAGGACATTGTAGCAAGGATTTGTGTATTGGGCATATAACTCAAACAGATGACCTCCAAGCTTCCTTCTAAGCTAAACATTTCTGCTTAGCTTCAGGAAAGGCCTTTGGAATAAAAAAAAAATCATTACTTCCTTAAAAAAGCAAATTTAAGGGAGGTCTAGATCAGCCCCCAAAGTGACACTAACAAGATTCATCATAGAGTGGGGGGAAAAGTAATTAAGCAAGGAACAAGATAGGGAACCCAGGGATTCAATACAATAGCTATTAAGAACCTACTAAATGTACAGCACCCTTAATGATATTGGTGGCTACCAAGATGAATACCACATGATCCCTGCCTTCAGCGAACCTGGAATCTGGCTTGATTTGAGAAGCAATCATGTATTCATTAAACTGTTTTAAGTATTGTAACTCTCCCAATGGCAATTACAATCCTTCATATATAAGCATAAGAATGCATTTTATATGAACCCCACTCCTCTCTGCCTTTCTCTGCAGAGAACTATGGATATAGAACACTATGTATACTGTCAGACTTATTTGATGTGTTGACTAACCCTGGAGAATGATTTTTTTCTTTCTTTTTTAATTCTTTATTGTAAGGAATGGCTCTCTGAGCAGGGGAGGAACATATTTAGAAATCAAGGTTATATAAAAACAAGAGAGACCAAGAAAAATATAGTGAAATGCATTTTTTTAACCAAAGGATTTTTGAAAATTAACCATTCCCTTTTGGATGATACAGGACATTGCTTTCCCTCCCCCACAAACTTACATAAGTTCAAGTAAAGGCAAACATCCTTCCCTGTCACAGTCCAGGAGATAACAGAATAACTCCCCATCACACACACACACACACACACACCCCTGCCGAATGCTGTGTATGTCTGAATACTGGCCTGTGTTTTTCACCTTTCTTACAGGAATGCCAAGTTATACTCAACTTAGCAGAGTGAGAAAGAAAGCTGGCTTTGGAATCTGGAAGACCTAGTTCCGGGCTTATATCTTTTTGTGGATTATGGTGATCTGTCTGTGTCTTTCCACTTTATGAGCTGTCTGAGTGCAAAAAGAGGATTGTATCTGAACTTTAGTCTCCCTAAGTGACTAGTCCAAGTTCTGCACACAAAGTGTATGCATGTCTCCCTGGCCTGGACTGCACTACAAGACATTATTCAAAGAATTGAAGAAAGATTGTGAGATGCCCACAGTACTAGTGCCTCACCCTATCTCCAAAATGCCTTGGATTAATTTTCTATTCCCTCAGGACCTACTTTAATATATGCACATTGCTTCCTCACCCCCACCCCCACCCAACAAAATGTGAGCACTTAGGGCAGATACTACCTCACAGCTGTCTTTGTAGCCTTATAGTGTCTGGCACATGAGACATATCATAAATGCTTCTCAATCAACTGATTTGACTGTGCGCCTTCCTGATTCCAACACCGATCCTATGAAATTTCCGGATTCCCTGCCACTTAACTATTGGAATCTCAATCTAAATCCTTTAAACAGGTTATGACGAGCAGAAGCAAATATTCTTCAAAGGAAGTTTTCTTTACCCTCCTTCTATAGGGATTCAGTACAAACAGTGCTGGTTCTATTGTCAGAAGGTCAGAGTTTGAGTCCCTCAGTCCTGGCTCTGACACATAGTATCTGAGTAACTATAGCAAACCATGCAACTTTTTGAGCAGCAAAATTGGCAACACAATACTTATCCCTATCTATCTCTCCTAGAACACAGCAACATAGCCTAGTAGTATTAATCCAACATCCCATCTACGCCCAGGACCCTCTCAGACTATATTTCCAACTGTTTGAAATGAAAACAATTAACATATTTATTAATTATCTTCTGTTCAACCTCTATAAATAAATAAATAAATAAATGTTTACTTGGTTAAAAGTGGCGGGCCTAACAATTCTAATAGTGGCCATTAATCATTGTGATTTAAAATTTCTCAAATCCCTATGAATTTCCCAAGGCATACGCTACATACAAGGACGCAAAGGTCAGTCAAAAGTTTCACGTGATAGCACTTGTAAACAAGTCATAAAGTATAATTTGAACAAATTCACATTTGTTCAACTAACATGAATTCAGAACTTGCCTCTCCCTCATTTAGTGCAGGGGTTCTTAACCTGGGTCCATGAACTTTCTTTTAAAAATATTTAAGTAACAATGTTTCAACATTTTTGGTTTCATTTATAATCTTAGGTCTTTTATGCATTTAAGAAGTGATATTCTGAGAAGGGGTCCTTAGGTTTCACCAGACTGGCAAAGGGATCTATAAAAACAGGTTAAGAAGCCCTGGGCTAGGGGGCTTATCACCTCTTGCTCTCTGATCATCTCATATAGCATATATTAATGCAAATCTCAGTGCCTACTTCAAAATAAGCATTAGATCCCCCCATGGCAAACCTGTTGACAATAAAGGGGAATTCCAGGACTGTACATTTTTGGAAATTCCCCCCAACAGTTCTGTAGCTAGCCAGACAACAACCAGGACAATGAACGTGCTCACCTCGGCATGAAACACCTTGACTGTCAATAACTTGTTTGCAGACACTGCAGACTTTGGCCTTCTTAAAGGATTTATTCTTAAAAGTGTGGGCACCCGAAGCAGATTCTTCTGGCTGGAAAAAAAAAGAGAGAAGACATTAGCTTTCTTTCGTCATGTTCTTGATTTTTATCTACAAAAAAATAAGACAAGTGGAGTCTTTAAATGTTCCAAACATGTATGATAACACACAGAAGGAAAATAAAGCATAGCCTAACCGAATATATGTCAATGAGGCCTAGAATACCCATAGGCACATGTGAAGTACCTTAGATTATAAGTTTTTAGATTTAATATTTACATTTGCACATGTGTTTAACTGGATTTGTACACTCTACAGCCCCAGGAGCATTTGATCACTATGGAATGATAATGATGAAGAATTCCCCTGCATATCATAGGCTAGGCTAGTAGTCAACTCTGATCACCATATTTTAAAATAGAGTCCATGGAGGTTTTCCAAGGTCAACTTCTTTCTCTAATCTTTTTAGTTAGGATATACCTGGTGAACATCATTACTTGGGCAAGAAGCATTTGGTTCCTCTTTTTTGTGGGTTCAAAACAGTATCTCTTTTTGCACTCTTTAACAATCTTTTTCTGTTCAATGTTGTGTATGGAAACATTCATTTTATTTGGTGTTTATTAAATTCAGAATAACAACAATATTGGCTTGCATTACACACACAAACGCGCGCGCGCACACACACACACAAAACTTCTCTACACAGGGAAGGTTTTGTAGAAATCTTACCAATAAGCAAAAAAAAATTCTTTCACCATGGCCACCGGATATAGCACTGACAGAAAACTTGTCTCCCCCCATCGTAGGCAGTCATCAACATGACAGCCATCAATTCAACTAAAGCTGCTAAAACAGTCTTTGTATGTGGTATGTGTAGATCTACAACTACATACAAACACAAATATATCCAGTCTAAAGTAATAAAATGTACAGGTTAACAAGACCTTAAACTACTCTCCATCACTTAGAGGATTTATGGGCCAGTTAGACTGGCTGGTTAGACTGAACATGGTGCCAATGAGAGCACAATAAAAGATCCAGACCCTAGGTCCCCCAAACAGACAAAAATGTTCCTGTGACCCCAGGCTGCATCCATAAAACCTGTAAGTTGTCTTTCAAATATATCCTAATGGGAACTGACCAATTGCCATCACTGGGGGGAAAATAAAAGTTGAGAGCCTATCATTGTCTTCATAAAGAATGACTGTCGGGGCAGCTAGGTGGCGCAGTGGATAGAGCACGGGCCCTGAAGTCAGGAGGACCTGAGTTCAAATCCAGCCTCAGACCAAACACTTGACACTTACTAGCTGTGTGACCCTGGGCAAGTCACTTAACCCCAATTACCAAAAAATAAAATAAAATAAAATAAAATGATTGTCCAATGTTGTAGACACTCAATAAAAGCTTGTTAAGTATACATTATAACATACTGGATTTCCAAAAGCCATAAAATGTTAAGTATACATTATAACATACTGGATTTCCAAAAGCCATAAAATGATTTCTCATTTAAGAGAGGGAGGGAAACCCTTCATTTGCCCCTCACAGGGCCCCTGATTATCCTCCATCTCTCCTGAAAAAAAAATTAGGAATTTCATCTATATTCCCTGTAGCCACCCATCATCACCATGTATTCATTCTCAATTCTTTGCAATCATGCTTCCTACTCAGATCTACAGCTGCTAAATCAGTAAACTTTTTCTCAGGCCTCATCCAGCTTGATCCCTATGCTACTTTTTGAAATCGCTGACCATTCCCCTGTGCTCCTAGATGTTTTCCTCTGTCAGTTGTCACACCATTGCTGTCCCCTGATTTTCCTCCCCCCCCCCCCCCCGCCATCTGCCTGCTCCTGCTCAGTCTCCTACCACCATCATTATCATCATCATTGGCATTTATATAGTGCTTTAAAGTGGACAGAGCTAGATATCAATGCAGCATCTTAACATAAGCCTCTCACACCAGCCCCATGAGAGAAGTGACATCCTTCACAGATGAGGAAAAGAAGGTTCAGTGAGGTTTCAATGAATGACTTGCCTAGTGGCATAAAAGCTCCCATGGGTTCAACTACTATCTCTAGGCAAATGGCTCTTGAATCTGTATCTCACTGTCTCACCGGATCTCCAGTTATCTATCATAAACTACCTGTTGTATATCTCTCCTCCTAGAGGTACCCAGGGTACATCAATATATCCAAAACAAAATTCTTTATTATCTCTCCTAAACCCACCCATCCTCCAAGTTTCTCATCCTTGAGTTCCTTGATTCTCTCTCTCCCTCTGCTTGGGAATAATACAGTTTGACTAGAGAAGAAAATGCATTTGAGCAAATAACATGAGATAAGGATGGAAACCAGATTCAATCCAATGGTGGGGGAAAAAAAATCTGTTACCAATAAAGTCCAATCAGTTACCAAATCTTATCAATTCTACTTCCCTAATGTAACTCACTCATATTCCCCTACCCCACCCCACTTAAATAGCCACAGGTTGACATGATGATCAAATTAGATATTCATAAAGTGCATAACACAGTCCCTGGCATACAGTAGGCACTGAATAAATGCTTCTTTCTTTCCTTTCCTACAGTTTGTTTACCAGGCCCACAACTATTAATTTTATTCACACATGCATTTATTCATTTAAAATCTGTCACCTGACAGCCTCCTCACTAGACTCCCTGTCTCTGGTCTCTATACTCTAATCTGTCCTCTACACAGATGCCAAAATCATCTTCCTAAGGCACAGCACGGACCACGTTACTCTCCTGCTCAAAAACATCCAATGGTTTCTCATTGCCAAAAGGAAAAAATACAAATTCCTCAAAATCTTCTACCATCTGGCTCCTGACTTCCTTTCTAGCCTTATTTATATTACTAGAGATTGCAAACTTAAATTCTACATACCCCATAAACTAAGACTGTTAGCTATTTTCCTGATACTCAATCTCCAGCCTTCAGCCTAGAATTCATTACCTCCTCAGTTTTCTCTCTCGGAATCCCCACCTTCCTTCAAGGCTCAATTCAGTCACCACCATGAGAAGTCTCCTCTGACCTTGCTAGCTGTTGGCATTCACGCCCTCATTTCTCCATAGATAGATGGTTGTACACATGGCACTCCACCCTCCAGGGAGAATGGAAGCCCTTTGATGGCAGGGGTTATTTCTGTTGTCATTGTATCCCTACAGCCTGTGTTTTACAAAGATTATGAACTTAATAAAAGTTTAATTGAATTGTTAATTAAGAAATAAATTGCTTATTATGAACCAAGTCTATCTACTGTTTACCTGTGCCTCGTGATTAAATAACATCAGGAAAATATCTAACTTGCCTTGCAAAAGGGATGAAAATGATGAAATTGCTGAAAATGGAAATTCAGATTCAGGAAATTCTATACTTCAATATATCAGGGGGACAAAATGCATGAGCACTGGCAAAAATCACACTTGAAACGAACCCAGTGGCCTATTTTGAAGGTTCATTATGAACACTAGATCATAGCAATATGTAATTGAGCAAAGAGGCCCAACTGGAACCCTATCTTCTCCAAGCTAAAGCAGAGACAATACTGAGCTCCTATTACCCAGAAAACACTTTAGTCATGCAAACATGTACCCTCTGAGTTTCAGCACTTAGCTTACACACACGCACCAATAAAACTATAAATAAAATAAAAGCTTTTATTAAAGGAACTGGTAAAATGTGGGTCTATTAATGGAAATGTTAAAATGGCCCCAAACTACCATCCTAATGATTTTTTCTAACATATGCCACAACAAACAGCCCCAGACAATTAGTCTCCTCCCTCCCCACCAACTGACCACAGAAATTTTCACACCTACCTTCTAATCTGCCTATCAAAATCCTAATCTTCCTTCACGGTCAAACTCACATCCTACTCCAGCCCCCCCCCCCATTACCGGTCTCCTTCCTATGAACTCCTAAAGCACTCCTTTATGGTCTATACCACTCATTTGCTACCTGGTTACAAACCAAATAGACTCCTACTATTCCTATAGTACCAAGCCCAAAGGATTATTCTGATGAGCAAATGGATGTCAAATATTCTGTTAACCTTGTGGTGTAGTGGATAGAGAGCTGGTCTTGGAGGTCAGAGGTCATGATTCAAGTGTCACATCAGACACATCCAGGCTCCATAACCATTCAATGCCCCCAAGGGAATTCTAAGGCTATAAACTTCAGAGTACTTGCTGATCTGTGTTGGCAGAGAAAGTTTCTTCCCTGGCAGGTCTCTCCACTAATGAAATCATAGGTCCAGTCCAAAACAAAACAACAAAAAACAAAAACAAACAATAACAATAACAACAATAAAAATTCCCATAAATATGTCAACAATTGCTATTCAAATAATTATTTATTCCAGTCCTGAGAATAACTTGCTAGGCAGCTAGGTAGCCCAGCACATAAATTACTGGACCTGGAGTCTCATTTCAAATGCAGTCTCAGACATTTACTAGCTGTGTGACCCTGGGCAAGAGACTTCACTTGTTTGCCTCGGTTTCCTCAACTGTAAAATGAGGGTAATAATTGCACCTGCCTCCCAGGGTTGAAATAAGGATCAAATTATTTGTAGAGTGCATAGCACAGTGCCTGGCATATAGTAGGCGCTTCATAAATGCTTATTTCTTTCCTTTCCTATAGTTTGCTTGCCTGGCTCACAGCTACCTATTAATTTTATTCATGCATACATTCATTCATTCATTCACCCATTCAACATTTTATACATGCTTACCACGCATAGAGAACTCTACTAGACTCTGGTAGAAGGCCCAGTTTAGAAGCTAACACTGTTTCCATGATTATAACTCTGAGGAATCCATTGGAAATAGTTTATTAACATCTGCTCAGATTTCATCTACACATAACATCTCTATTATGAAAGGAGAAAGGGGCAGGATCAGGCGCCTTTTGTTTTCACCTGGTACAACTCTTTCATTTCTCCAGAAGAGGTGGGGCCAATGTGCACACAGAAGGAGGTGACAGTAATACTGAAGCATTTAGAGGGCTCAGTTCAGGAATCTAAATTGCATTTAACTGT